TTTTGTTGATTTTTGTCAGCCACAACCTGTCATGATTTCATGATATTTTCCCCATGAAAAAAAAAAAAAAAAGCAGCCAAATTGAGAGGAAGATATTTAATTGTGGCCTATAATCTTAATGTCATAGCTAAACAATCAGAGGAGGGGAAAAAAAAGAGTAGGTCTTCTCCTGCTCAGTTTTAATGAAAAGCTAGAAGTCCCCCTAAAAGGGAGATTCTCTTACCCATACCTTCACTTCCACATGAATAGGACTGTTTAGTAACAGGTAAATTTCCTTGACTAACTAAAGAATATGAATATTTTGTATACAGACTTCAGTGTCTTCTGTCATAGGCCAATATGTGACTATAGGCCCTTGCCTGAAGATAACTCAGCTGTTCCCTGCCTTCCACTGAGGGGCAAAAAAAATCTTATTTTATCCTTTTCCTAATGTAAGCTAAATCATGCCCTATCTGTGGGACTGAGTCTCTCCCTAGAAGTGTTGCTTCTCTTCCAAGTTATTTCCTGCTTAACGTTTGCTCTTTACTTTTCATATTGTGGCAATGCTAGAAGACTTACCCATGGAAAAGGCCCACCTGCTGTAGTGTAAGTGCAGGCAGGCATTGTATTTGTAATGGACAAGCTTACTAAACATAAGCACAGTAAATCATCAAATATGCAAATACTGCTGCTCTCTTGCACAGAAAACCAGTAGAAGCAGCTGTAGCTTCCAGCTCCTCTTCCTGATGATGTTACTTAGGTAGTGATAGGTGTAGTGCTTGACAGGCCATAATAAAAAAACAGCAGGCAACATTCAACACAGATCTGAGTCACCTAAAATCTTGCCCCAAAGCATTTACACTATTACAGGTTTTGTTTCTGTTATACTTTTTCAGGTGTTACACTGCAACTTAATATTACAGAAGTTATTAGTGCAATATCCTATTGCATCACTGATAGCAAAATATGGCCAAATGCATCCAAACACTAAAATTTCAGAACTGATTCTCAGGAAAAAAAATAACTTTATATGTATTTGTACAGGAAGCTTGCCTCTCATTTGCTTTCCTATCTATCAGGATACTTACTGCCTTTCTAATGCAGCACTCAAAATGCCATCCTTTCATAGCTTTATCCTTTGTTATGTCTTAGCTGGTGCTAGACTTGTATTGTAGTACTGCTGCTTTCAACCCATTCAAAAGGACTGGAAAATATTTTTTTTTTTTTTGCACAGTTTGATATCCTAGCTGCCAAGAATTGCAATTTTTCCAATCTGTTTTCTCACAAAGAAATTTCACTCAGCTACAGATTGTTGGATGCCTATAAGACAAAGGCAAATGCAGAGCAAAACCAGGTTACAGCTGTTTCAAAAAGGAGAAAAGTCTAAACCTTGACCTAATGCTCCACATAAACCAGTTAGAAGTCTCATGATAACACTTTATAATTGCAAAGCACTCTGTTTCTGATGGTTTCTAAGTGTTTTGAACATTCTCGAGTATTTCATCTGATAACTCTCTGAAAAAGGTATATTTTACCACATCCATTTTTCACGCATAAGAAATTGTATGCACTGAAAAAAACCATCATGGAGATCATACAGATCTCACATAGTCATTGCTTTTTTCTGAACTCCAAGCATGCATTAATCATGTACCATGTTTGAGTTTTTCTCTTGGTGTGGTTCTCTTAATTTCACAAACTGAAAATCAAAGATGGACATTCATGTTTTAGCTGCCACTTTTGTCTGCCTGGCCTCCAAAATGCCCAGTAAGAAGTCAGATGTTCTAAAGCATTCTGCTTTACTGTAAGAGGTTTGGAAAACCAAATCAGCAAAAATACTCTATGATTTTTCTAGGTGCTGCTATCATCCTGCTGAGAAATGGATGGATCACATGAGAATTTTCACACCTCTGCTGACATGGGAACATGCATAACCAAACTCCAGATTGCCTCCAAGTATACCTACCCTGGGCAATGGAGCATGATGCAAATATCCCTGGATTAAAACCTCCCAGAGCTGGTACAACCACATCACTCAGTGAAGTGCTGCAGAGTACTGCTTCAGGTTTGGAGCCAGCATAGCTCTTTCATAACCCTTACTGCCCATGAGTTAGTGCCTGCTGTCCCCCCCAGCAATGCCTTCTCCTAACAGCTGTGTGTCACACTGATGCTGTTACATCATTTCTGCTACCAAACCTGCTCTGGCCAACAGCATCTCCAAGATCCCTGTCGCATCTTCACTTACACAGACATGTCCTTGCATGAGACCTTCTGAGGGCAGGAGATGGCCTGCCTCAAAACAATGAATTGACCAAGTGACAGTGGTAGAAAGTGGTCACTTTCCTGGCTCACTGATTTGGGAAGATCATAGTTAGTAAAAGGCTTTCTGCTATTAATTGTTAGCAATTTCTATCTAATGGCTGTCAACAAAGAATTTTCACATTGAAAATAAGCTTAAGGACTTGAACGTTGCAGATGTGAGCACCTGCATCTAACACTGGACTTCAATCATCAGTTGTGCAAACCTGAGTCATAAGACACTAGGGCCCTCATTTCTTCTACAATATGCTAAAACATATGGTGTCAGTTGTGACTGAATTGGAAAACTGAAAGGAATTTTAAGACTATCCAGTGTGCCTTGTTGTAGTAACAAAGTACACAGGGAAAAAAACCAGAATAAAAAAAAAATCCTCAAACCATTACAGAGAAGACATATAGATGTACTATATGTCTGTAAATCCAATATTGTCCAGTGATCAAAATTATTGTAAAATAAAGGTGGTTTAGGTGACAGTAAAAAAAAAATAAATCATCAATTACCTCCAATAGGTCATTTTGTTCCTTAGTAATTTTTTCTAATTTCTTCAATTCTCTCAAGAGTTGTCTTGCTCTTTGGAAGACTGAGAAAGGTTGCATTTTCACCCCTGGTAGCTGAAGTGCTTCTTCGTAGGACAGTATATGAACAATGGTCTTCTGCATAGGACCAACATGGTCAAGTATAACCTATGAGGATACAAGATAGATGATGGACGTGATACTGAGTTGGAAAAATCAACACTGAAAATTTATACTACTGTCACGATGTCCAAAAGTTCTCTTTGGTGAGTTTCCCATTTAAGAAGAAGAATATTTTAATCTTGGAACAAATAAGTGGAAATCAACGGTGAGGTTATCTACAGCAAAAGGAAGATACAACTTACATTTGCAATTCTGCTTTTTCTGTACATAAAGTTTGCACAGTGACAAAAAAAAAGGGTCACATTCAGATTAATTACTATTTCTAAGTGTGTCATTTCAAAGTAGTACATCTTTGTCAGTGAAGACAGTTAAAAAACTGGTGCAAACTCTTTGATGTCACTCTAGCCAACTCTGGTTTTTCTTTTTTTGTGCTGCAAACCAGCCATGCAATGTCCTATGTTAAAGCTAGCCATTTTATGATGGTCCTATAAACAGTCTTATCAACACAGCTGAGATAATGAACTGGGATGGAAGCCAGGACAAACCTCTGAAGGTGGCTTTCCTGTCAAAAACAGCATTTCAACTCACAACACCCCGAGCAGATGCACAGTTTACAATCACTTTTATCGGTTTTGCATGAACAAAAATGTGCAGTGTCATACCACAATACACGTTTTATGGAAGGCTCAGTGATCAGCTTAGGAAAGACAGAATGGCAATACCAACTCACAATTTCTTGGCTCTCCTAAAGAAATATGAAATCCTACTGAGATTTCATTCAGCTGGGAACATCAGAAAAAAATAATACAAACCACCTCTGGGTCTTTTAATTACTAATATTTTTGTTAGATTCCTTCTCAAGTTTTCATTTTTAAAGGCCCTAGTTGAAATAGAAAGGCTTAGTCTCTCACTCATAAGCAGCCTGTATCAGGAATTTTTTGTAATTAGCGTACTATCCAGGCTTCAGTTTAAAATAAGGAAGTAAGTGAATATTCTTTTCCAGAAGAAATATTACTTTAGTTTTTCCATATAAAGTAGCCATTACAAAATTGTTCTCTGGGTAACACAGCTATAAGAGGTACGATGACATTTTTATCCCTCCCCTGAAACTGAACCCGTGTGTTCTGCATTTCAGTCAGCTAACAATGTGGACTGCATTGGGTATAAAAGAAAAGATACCATAATGCTTTGCTTTACTTCACTCAAGTAAAGAAAGGAAAATCATCTGGCCAAGGTATCTTTGCAATGAAGTCCCTGCACGATGAAACGGTTTTATGGTAAGTCATTCCAGCCTACGTTTCCAGAAACATCTGCTAAATTTTGCCTCCATTTTTGGAAAAATAGGGCCTGATTTTCAGACTTTCAGTTTACTTACTGTTTGATGCTAAGAAGAGTGATATGCAGCAAGTGTCTCTGAAAGTCAGGCCATAAACTTTCCAAAAATGGAGACACTCAGATATGGCAGGTATGTCTGACAACATGTGCTTAAGTTACATACTCTATGGGCATGTTCTCAATAGTGCTTTAATTTCAAATGTTTTCGTTCAAACCATGACTGTGCTTCCTGAAGACATCTCACAGCAGCCTCACCTTAGCGTTTCCACTGAGCAGCTGTCTTGGACCATGCAAACTGGATTCCTTTCAAATGAAACTAAAGTAGAAAATACTCTCCAGAAGAGCCTCTGAAGACACCCAGCCACTAACAGATGTTCGTTCTACAGGATCAGTCCAAGGTAAGCCCCCAAGACGGATACAACACAGATATCAGGTCCTCTGCACCAACTGTTTTGCCCTGGCAATGTGGTCCTCTTGGATTGCACTGCTTGCTACTGTAGAAACGTGTAGCCAAAATCATGACTGAAATAACACTTTCAATCTTCTATCCAAGAGTCAGAATTTGTGTGATACTAACGTTTCAAAGTCATATACTAAAAACTTGTTTATGGCAGTTTGCAGTCACAAAACAGCCTTATGCTTGTGAAAGTATATTTATGCCAAATTACACATAAATATATAGGGAAAAAAGCCTGTATAGGAGTTTTCACAGACCTGTCCATGTTTAAGTTGGTCTTTAAGGGAAAATTCTAACAGATCTTCTGATGACAGGATTGTCTTCATTTTGGCAATGTCCTTCTCAAACACTTTCACATGAGATTCAATGGCATCCAATTCCTAGATTTTGGGAATAAAAAGAGTATTTGTAGATAGTACAAATAGCAAAGCCAGCTTGCATTTCTGCCTTTCATTTAAATTTAAAAAACAAATACTGAAAAACAAGTGCAGCATATGCAGGATATGTTAATGGATGCTACCAATCAAAAGGCTAGTTATTATAAATTACATATCATCATAACTTCTGGAGGAATTAAGTATCTAAGGTCTCCTGGTCTGTTTTAAACCCTGAATACAGAATTGAAATATCCTTGAAAAGTCACATTATAAATTACCAGTAGAGACAACACACTTTTCCAGTGGTGATAGTTATCTGCATAGGAAACTGCTCTAATTAGACTGTTGCAGCTTCTTATATGAAGAGTCTTATGTCAGACGAAAAATGGATCCACATACAGTTTGTGAACTCTCATGAAGACAGAGTCACAGAATAAATTAGGTTGGAAGGGACCTTGGGAGATCTTTGGTGCCTGTCAGAGCAGGTTGTTTGGGGCCTGATCCTGTTGAGATTTGGGTATCTCCTGTGATGGGGATTTTACCCCCCACTTTTGGCCCCGATCTAGTGTTTGACCAATCTCACAGAAAAAAAAAAAATCCTTCCTGATATGTAGATGGAATTTCCTTTGTTATAATTTGGGTCTGTTGCTGCTCATCTTTTCTTTGCACACCTCAAGAAGAGCCTGGCTCTATCTTGTCTATAGTATCCCATGATGTGGCAGTAGACAGTAATAATTCCCACCTCTCCCACCCCCGAGCTGTCTCTTCTCCAGGCTGACCCAAGTTTGTCAGCCTTTCCTCCTCCATCTTGTGCTACAGCCCCCTGACCACCTTGGTGTCCTTCCTGGACTCGCTGCAGGTATGTCTATGTCTTTTTTACACTGGGAAACCTAAAACTGGGCACAGCTCCCATGGACCTCCTGGCTACACTTCTGCTCAGGCAGCCCAGGATGCTGTTAGTCTTCTTGTTGCGAGGCCGTGCTGCTGTGTCATGATCAACTCGTCCACCAGGACCACCAGCCCTTTCAGCAAAGCTGCCTTCCAGCTGGTTGGCCCCCAGCCTGTGTTGGTATTTGGACATGTTCCCTCCTGGGTGCAGGACTTTGCATTTGCCTCTGTTGAACTTCATGAGGTTTCCGTCAGCCCATTTCTCTAGCCTGTCCAGGTGCCTCCGAATAGGAATCCTGCCCTCCAGCAAGATAAGCCCTTCTAATTTGCCAGTCTGCAAGCCCTGTATTTCTCCTCCTAAACAAGGAGTTTCATCAATACTCCTGAACTTTACAACTTGATTAGATACCAAACACCTTCTGATGGTTTGTTTCCAAAGAATTAATTTCCTCACTTGGCACACCTACTAAAACCAGCACACCTTTTTTCTATGCAGGCAACTTAAGCTATATTTCATACCATATGATGAAGCTCTGATAAAAGGCACTTATAGATCACCCAAACTTACATCAGCCACATGCTGGATCTGTGGAAGAATCTCTGCTATCTCATGCTGTAAAGTTGCTACTTGATCATCTATTTCACTGAGCTGCTGCATTACATTGTCTGTTTCAAAGACTGGTGTTAGCTCCTCCAGCTCCAAGTAAACACTGTGTAGAAGATTTTGCTTTTGCTCTGAGTCTTCCAAAGCCATCTGGAGACAAAATAAGAGCTTAGTTTGGTCCACCAATGGTGAAGATGAAAGTTTCACAGAGATCTCAGACAACAGATGTAACAAAATGCTCCAGAAAATATCTGGCCAGTTGTGCATGATGGGAAGATTCTTCTTATCTCCTGCAGCTAACTGTATGAGCTTTTGGATTAATTGCAGCAAATGTCTTTATGAAGAACAGTGAGGGTTGCAAGAAATGCATGTGATCCACTGAAGGAAAGGACTGAACGCATGTCTCAACTCTAATGCAAGCCTTGGGTGCATTTCCAAGTCCACTAGTTTCCCAGCCCAGAAGACATAAAAACACTCCAAACCACAAACACAGGAGACAATAAGCTTTTGAAACAAAAATGTTCACAGATTTTGGAAATCACATCTGCCCATTATGGCTATCTGCTTTGTAACATATCAAACCAGAACAGTCAGCTACTTCTTGTAAGGAATTCTTATTAGTTTTAATACACAAATCTATGTTCAGAGCACCAACTTTCTCTCTTGGCCTAAGGCAACGACTAGACATATAGAAAACTCAAATTTCAAACACAAAATTGCCAGAAATGCTCTTGGCACTTGCCTGACCCTGATCTTCCCTGTAATACTACAAATATTTGATTCTTGAAATTACCAATCAGAATTACCTTCAAGATACAGTGAGAACTGCCTTCCAAATCACAATTCACTTCAAAGTTTCCATGTAACACACCAACATCAAAATACTACTTTATCCCTTTTGGATCACGTACACACAATACAGAAAGAACCATACATATTCACGCAGTAAAAATTATTATAGCCACACAGTAGGGTAACAGAAGACAATCACACATTTTTGGAAGATATATATCCTACAGTTCAGCACTTTCACAAGATAGATATGTCCAACACCGAAAAGTATCTATCTATATTTCATGAGTGTCAACTATAACTATTTCTCACTTAAAAGATTTACTGAAAATGGTAAATTATGTATGTCAGGAAGACTTAAGAATGCAAAATTGTGTCTGTACAGAGCAACCAGTTCTAACAAGACCATATATCTGCATTAACACTTACCTGAAGGTCATTAGTATGTTTGTGTAAGCTTTTTGCAAAGTCATTTTGCACATCTGCTCTTAACAAGCAGCTGGTGTTTTCTATCCAAACTTTCAAATTTTTCAAGAGTTCATTATATTCTTCCATCCTGTTGGCAGCCTAGGAAATGACAGGATTTTACTAAAAGGCGCAAATGCATTTCTATTCACTGTATACGATAAACACATCTATGGACAAGATTAAAAGAAAACAGTATGCATTTTCATCAAGGTCAGTTAAATTGCTGATCTCTTCTCCCTGGTATCCAGTGATAGGATGCGTGGGAACAGTTCAAAGCTGTATCTCTTCTCCCTGGTATCCAGTGATAGGACGCGTGGGAACAGTTCAAAGCTGCGCAAGGGGAGGTTTAGACTGGACGTTAGGAAGTATTTGTTTACCGAGAGGGTGGTCAAACACTGGATCAGGCTTCCTAGAGAGCTGGTCAATGCCCCAAACCTGTCAGTGCTTAAGAGGCATTTGGACAATGCCCTTAATAACAGGCTTTAACTTTTGGTCAGCCCTGAAGTGGTCAAGGAGTTGGACTAGGTGATCATTGTAGGTCCCTTCCAACTGAAAATATTCCATCCCATTTCATCCTATCCTTATCCTATCTTATCCTAAATTAGTATGGTGAAACAAAGATCATAATTTTACTGGAACAGTTTCATGATTTCAGGCAATCTCCTCTAATCAAAGGTAATTTTGGTGCTTACGTACTTACATTTCATGGGGGCATTGTTGCGATTTATCTGGCAATGTTACTTGACTAAATAGCCCATTAGCAGAGTCAGAGAGAACCATCTGATTCGCCATCCAGGGGCCTGAATTCCCCCATGCTAACCCCCATCAACCACAGTGCAGGGCCAGTCCTTTGGGGTAACAGCTGGAGGCGATGTTTGCTACTCCACTCTTAGCTACAATAAGCTAATGCAGCAGGCTTTTGCCTCTTTATTCATTTGAAAGCCTTTAATGATGCAAAGCCTTTATTTTGCTTTTTATAAGATGTGATTTTTTTAAAAACTTTTACATTTGTATCTACCTTGTTTAAAATGGCAGTTCTGCGCTCGGCAAGTTGCGAGACCTGTTGGTACTGCTGAAGAGGGGTCACTAAGATATCCATCAACTCCTGTGCGTGGCAGGAATCCTGCTCTACTATATCATGCACTTCTGCATCCAGTTCATTGAGTTTGTAATGCCAAAGGTCCAGCATATCCCAGATTTGCTGCATGTGGAGAGAGGGGAAATGAAATATAAAGTCGGGCTCAAAGATAACAGCTGAGTTATTTATTCTTCATGTGGGGCATGTGGAATTGCAAAGATGTCGGAGCTGATACGACAAGAATAGAACACTCTGCATGTACTGGAGAGATTCACAGTTGAAAAAACCGTGCATTTTCCTGTGAGAAAGAATTGGTAAATATTCACCAGCTAAATGCTTGCTTGTACTTCTTTCACAGACATAAAATGAATGGAGGGCCATTTCAGGGCCATTTCAGCCTGCTGAAGCAGGCTCTGTAGAAGCAACCAAAAATCTTTTAACACCCACAAAATTTTTTTGGCAAATTACCTTCTGAACTTCTTTGGCTTTTGCAATGTTTTCACTCTTCTGTTGTAACATCTTTTCAATAGCTTGAAGGCCCTTGTTAATAGTTTCTGCTTTTCTTTTCAGAACATACTGAGGAGAGCTCTGCAAGATTTCAAAGCTAACCTGTCACAGTAAAGAGAAAACGATTGGGGAGATTACAAAGATCTGCTTGTTTCTGTGCACCATCTCACCAAAAATATTCAAATTCTTTTTATGTTTCTCTTGATGAGTCACTTATAAACACAGGAATGGAATTACATTTGCAGGGAGAAGCATTAATGTGAGCAGGGTCAACATTTACATGTTGTTCAATAATTTCCTCTCATTTAAAAATGACTGGTCAAGAAAGGCAATCCCTGAAGAAACAAACAATAAAACACTACAACTCCCTGGGTACTTCACTTCAGCTGCCCCGTTCTAATCTCTACCAGAAGCTAATCACACTGCATGGTGGAAAGGGTCACATGTAGATTTATGCAGTAAGAAACCTGGAATGACACCTTTATGTCTCAGCTGACAGCTGGTACTTCCATGTAAGAAATAAGGCAATATGGAAGTGCATCAATGTATAGTGAATTTCTAAATATAAATGTAGAGATTTATTACTAAAATAAAAGGCTCTGAGCCCCATAAAGTATGTGGAACTTAATTTTAGTCTGCAGAACTTCACAGAAATGAAAAATCGGTACACTGGAGGGCCTGATTTTCTATGTAATGAGAAAAACTCTCAAGTAAGCTAAAGCTGAGTAATTGTCTGAGCACAAAACTGAGTGACATAGTCAGGTACCAGGTTACTATGGACTAGATGAAGTGCAAGGAATGAGAAAGTCCTTGCTCTTAGCCCAAAGTGACATCTTTTCTCACTAAGCCCTGCTGGCTGTTAGGGTCAGCCAAGCACCAGGAAATCATTAAATCATGGTAAATTCTTTGCGTGCTGCAGCCCTAGGATTTATGAGGCATATGCACCTTGCACAGTTTTATTATGCATTGATGCAAAAGATTTCTAGTTTAGTAGTTATTCTGGTTTGAAGCTCCTCATAGTGAAATACTTTATCCTTTTTGTGGGAAGAGGAATTAAGATAATTATTTCATTAATCAATTATTTATACATCTTTATTTCTTAATTTTATTAACATTATTTATTATTTATAGATTCCAACAGGTAATGTCAGACCAATATAATAATACCCATAGTAACGTATTGTATTGATAAAATTGCATTAATAAAAATAAACATAGAGCAAAAAGAACTACAGTGCGCCTCTTAAATACTCATGCTTATGCAAAAAAGCTGTGAAGTTCAGTCTGTACTTAGTGCCTAAGACTCCTTGGAAAAAGAAACTCAAGACTGAAATCACTAAACACTTGACCATTACTACTACCTGGAATACACCAAACATGAAAAAATCATTGATGTTTGTAGTACCAATTTCCAAAATAGAAGAGAAATATGTATGAGCGATGCAACACAGTTGGAAATGAGAAAGCAGATCAAGCACTGACTTCATATCTTTCCTCAGAAAAAACACTGCATCTGTCAATGTTCTGGTCACTGGTAGGGCAGGATTTTAATAACAAGACTTCTTACTGAGATAAATTTATTACCTTTTTCACATAAAATGCATGGCATCAAAAGTACAATTTATTTTCACTTTTAGGTTAGTAGATTTAGAAGAAAGCAGAATGCCATTAAAATATGACAAGCTAATTCAATTTAACACATACTGGTATCTCCTAGTATGTAACTAAATTGATCTCCAGTTCCATGAGGATTTATTTTGTTTCCCAAATGCATTTGAAAAAATTCCAAGATAGTTTATATTGTTTCCCACTACCTAAATGTGAAAAGCAAATATTAGCTAGTTTCCAGGACCAGTTCTTTCACTCCAACATGTAATGCTGGGATTTGGGACAATCTTTTATCTCAGTAAATGAAACAGTGAACAACAGAAAAAAAAAAAACCAAGAACAAATCCAGTTTAACTTCCCTTCTCCTTCCCTCTCCTATCCAGCTGTTGGTTCTGAAAAGACTGGTTCCATTTTGAAACAGAAATTACAATGTTAACCAAATTAAAACTAATAAGCTGTAATGAATATGTCTCTAAATATTTAATGGCATATAAAAATGAATGAATAATCTGAAAGAAACTAGTAAGTAACTGGATTTCAGAATTATTTTATTAAAATTTGAAGTTTTATCAAATTAACTGAGATTTAGCCTTTACAATTAGCATTAAACATTATTATTTCTGAAATAAGAGAACTGGAAGATTTTTTTCTTTTTAATATAACACAAATGAATATATAACAATGATAATAATTATACCAGGCTAAAATTTGACCCCAAACTTGCAGCATTACTCCATTTTCCTTTAATTGTGCTTTTAGTTTACTGTTTACAGACCCTATAGATAGAAAACACTGCAAAAAGCCAAGGCTATGTTTTTTAGTTATTTAAATTCCCTGCCTGCTTTTAAAGGAATGCAACCATGTCCCAAGGGATGCTCTAAAGAACCACACTGTGATAACCTACCATCTGTGCAAATTAGACAAAAAAAAAATCCAGTTTCAAAGTCCTCTTTTAACTCAGTTTTGAAAATATCTTCTCAGTTAAGCTCTACAAACTTCCCAATCAACTTTGACCACTCGTTCAGTTTAAGAATCAGACTGGATAGAAGACAGCATCCATATCATATCTAAGACTTCACTGCTAGTGGTTCTGCCACGTCATCTTTTAACAGAAAAGAAAAAGTGCTTACTGTAAGGTTGTTCTAAAAGGAGACAGTTAACATGAGGAATCTTTCCTCATGCATACATTTTCACTGAGAGGAAAATGAAAATAATCAATTTTTCAAGTTGAAATTTATAGTTAGAACATCATCAGATATTGCTGTACTTACTTATACATTACAAAAAGGTAAATATGAAAATTACATCAACGGTTACCTTGTCTTCTAGGTCTTGCAATACCTTCTTGCAGTCCTCCAACTGTGTTTCGATCTCTGCAGGTACTATTTTGTACATTTCGGAATACTTGATCCGGAGTTTCTCCATGATATCCTTTAGAGTTTGACTTTCTTTACCAATCACACTCTGAACCTCCTACAAAATTAAGAGTAATTTCAACAGTTTTACCTAGTTCATACTGAGTGCATGTGTGTATACATAGATATGTTTATATCTATACATACATACATACTATGGTTTATATTTCCTACCATGATTATGGTTGGGAAAAGTTGTTTTTGTGATATCAAACCTAATCTGACTACCTCTGCAAGTGAATTAACTTTGAGAAATACTCACTCATTTAATCAAATGATGCTTTTCAATCTGTAAGAATTAATTAAACTTGATACTACTCCATGTCAGGCAACTGACGCACTGATGTTTATTGACGGCCATAGCAATGTAATCATTTGAAGTGCCCCTATGAGTGAATGTTAACCTTTGTACTCTCTCTTTTGCCAAAAGTGCATTTTCCCTTTGAAAGACGTTTAATAGCCAATGTTCATTCCTTCATTATTATAAACAACACAAAGGCCACAAAAAGCAACAGGTTTCAAGCTGAAGTGTCTGCTTTCAGGCAATTGCGCAGAGCAGCAGAGCAGGCTCCTTTCAAAACAGTAGTTTCCAGTTCTGCATGAAGAATGTAGGTTTTATGAGATAAAAGAAACTTGAACAACTGTCTGCAGCCTGTGGCCTAGAAATAAAATCTGATCTAAGTCCTGTTGCAGAAAGAATGAAGAAACTCATTTGTTTTGAAGGTTTTCTAGAATTTCAAGTTGGAAAGTTCTGTTTGTTTGCTTTATAGTTCCTTTTCCCAATGCTCAGCTGTTTGAGAAACTCAAATGTTAACTCAAGTTATTGGGGAAAATGATCTAACACTCCTACCAGGCAATGAAAGACATTAAAATTAACATCCTTTTCTTTTTCAATCGGGGGTAATGGTAAGCCATTAAATCCTAGTTTTCACTTGGGAATCTTTTCCCTCACACAAATACAATGCACAGAAGAAATATGTAAGAGTCTGAGATTGATTTATTTCCTGTCATCCCACGACAACTGGGTCTCATATTAAAAACCTCAAACCCATGAAACAGCTGTGTGCCTAATTCTACCATAGAGAAGGCTGTTGTTGTCAAATGGCCCATTTAAGATTATGCCAACATTTATGGGAGTTTATAGATTCCCGGACTTGAATTTGAAAGAATCAGTTACAACATCAGTCTCCAAAACAAAGCATGTCTCTGCGAACTGGTTTCTGTATATGAATGCATGTTCACATTTCCCAGATTATTTAGCTGGAAAGTAGATTCCTTTTCAAAACTGCCCCTTTTTTTTTTCTCCTAGGGGACTAGATGATATAACTTCCTATTTGCATATTCATCTAAGTTGGTGAGTTAAAACTTTGCCACCCGACTAACCTAGATTTGTCATCTGTAAGTGAAATAGGCATTCCCATTCAATAAATGCAATGGAGCCCCAAATAATGCTATAGATTTTATAGAAACTAGGTTTTCTTTGGAAGCAAGGACGAAATTGCCCTGCAGATTTTAGCTTACTGGTGTTTGCATAAGGTAAAATTAAAGAATTTTTCAATCCTTTCAGCTGAATCGTCTCAAAAGGAACAGGCAAGCTGTGACATACAGCTACAAAGAAATCGTTTGACAGGATTGCTGCTAACATTTGCTTGAGCCGATGGCTGTCAGGAACAGAAACAAGGTCTAAACTCACTTTTGGGTGAGTTTTAGGTGCTCAGACTCGCACAGTTTCTATGTGAGGGGAAAGTACAGGCATCATGCACCTGCAGTGGTAACATTTCCTCCTGGACAGAAAAAACTCAGTAAAAGAGTAGAGTCAACTCTAAATTCTAATTCTAAATATTTTTAAATAGAAAACCAGCCCTTTCAGACAAATCCACAAGGTTTCACTGCAGTAATGCTAGCTCATGGGTTTTAAGAACTTCCTAAAGATGTAGATAACATTTCTCTTGTGCTAATCCCTCGGAAGATGCTCATATCTGCCACCACAGTCTTTGGCTTCTGTACTTTTCCTAGCCCTTTGCCAGCTTAAAGCATCCAACTTCTAAAGAAAATACATGGAGGGGTCCCCCAACTAGTTTTTGTACAAGACTTAGGAAAGAGAGCCCAAATTTGTAATGGACCCTAGTAGGCTAGAATAAATAAATTACAAAGTTCTATAGGTAAAGGATAATAATAATTAAAAATATTTTT